ATTCTTGTATTTGCTGGTTTGTGTTGTTGTGTTTGCACATTTCTGTTGCTTGTGGGGCTCGCACACAAGAATTTCACTCGCATGTGCTGTGCCAGTGTGCCTGCACATGCGATGTGACAATAAAAGTGATTTGATTTGATTTGATTTAAAGCTTGTGTTCATCTCTGTGCGTAGGACCATTTCCACCCAGGCTCACTGGATTCCAGCGCTGATGCAGAGACATTACTGGACTTGGCAAAACAGGCAGCAACAATTCACAATAAATCTCACATACAGGTATTCTCTACTAGGTTGATAAAGATGGTTGATTTAATTTAAACTTTTGCTCTTTCCACACTTATGCTTTTGAATCGGTCTTCTCTCGAAGGTAATATATTTGCAGCGTCCCATTACGGAGCCATACTCCTACTTTATAGGTGAGTATTTATGTTGCAGTTAATGTTTTTTTTCAGTGGCATCTGCAGATACATTGGGTTGGACACTTTTCATGTGTTCTTTTCCAGCAACAAAAATCTTGGAACGTATAAAGTGGAAAACTGAGAGCAAAAAGCTTAAACCCCAAATAAAACTTCATAGAAAACTGGGTAAGTACACTGAAATGTTTTCAGAATCATATAGATGTTCAGTATTGTCCAAGCAGAAAATGTGCATGCGTGGCTCCCAGGGTGGCATTGCATTGTTTTTATTTGGAAAGCTGACTTGCTGTTTTTTGTTTACAGAATGGATGCCTAATATGACAACTGTACTCAGACTGACTTGTATATCCTTTTTTTTTTTTTTTGTCTCAGTTCCGAGGATAACTGTAAAAGACGAGCAACGTGTGAGAGGTGTCTGTCAGAAAAATGGCAGCACCAACACAGTCGGTGTAGAAGAAATCAAAAAAGAGCGTGACACACCGACACAAAGTGAAAATGACTCGAGGTTGAAAAGTGAAGCGGCTTCAGAAGTGATGAACAGTCCAGGTGAGGTGTGTCGGGCGATAAAGCAGGAGCCAGAAGAGGCTAAAATAAAAGGATCAGCTGGGGCGAAGCAAAGCTGCCACAATGCCAACAAAGATAATGGTCCAGACTCTGGGATAGAAGATGGCAGAAATAGCAAAGATGTCCCAGCACAGCTGAAGAATTACAAAGAAATGGAAAGAAAAAGACAGCACAGTGTGTCTGAAACATCGCAAGAGGACTCGTGTCCTACTGAGTGTGTGGGGAGAGAAATGGGCCCTAAAAGACAGCGTCGGACCTCCAGAGAAGACTCGTGTGACAAAGCCCCAAAAATGTCTGATATTAGCATAAAGAAGGAGAACAATGAAGATGAAGCCTGCAAAGCGGCAATTGACAAAGGTTTGGAAGGTTTTACTGACTATCTTACTGTTTTTGTTTTGATATGTCAAGAGAGTTGGTTTTCTCCTCTGTCAGGGGTAGACATTTGTTCAAACACAAGTAAGAGAAATAAGACACTGCAGACCGACTCAGAGAGTATTAGAAACGTGCGCACGGGTGAATGCCTCTGAGAAGACACACACACCGAGTGCAGGCTCGGTTGCTTTATTTATAGTGAAAGTAAGTTTACATAGTACTTCCTCTTTTAACAGAAAGGGGAGAGGTCAGGCATTATCTCAGCTTATCTGACCTTGCACACATACACTGAAAATAACAATGCAGAAGTATATCATGCTTATCTGACATCACACACTGAAGTAAGGAATGCATTATGTTCTCTTTAACAATAAGCTTGGTTATGTGAAAATATATGAACACACAAAATATAAGGCACACTTGATTATATTGTATTATAGAGATTAGGTTATATTGTATAATGTAGAAAATCTCTTGACATCCTCTTAGCTCTCAATAATGTGTAATAGATTTTTATTTATTTTAATAATTATGCCTTTACTTGTTTTTTGATTATAAGGAGAGCTAAGTATTTTTATCTAAAAATATTCTAAGAAGGGGAAAACATGGATGGTATTGTCCCGATTCTTTGATATTGGGAATAAGAACAAACCAACACTGGCTCCGATGAGTTCAATCAAACGATGATTTTATTAAGCACACGTGTGGGAAGATGTATACTGTAACATCAGCATAGATCTTTGCTAAAAAGCACACTTCTTCAAAATGGTTTTAATATGTCAGGGTTTGGCCCCTTCTTGCGTCAACAAAGAATATAACATGCATCAGTTACAGTTAATAATTGATTAACAGTTAATGACAGTTAGACAAGTTCCCATTATCAGCAACATTTTTACTATACATGGCTGTTTGTTTCAAAAGTCTCCCCCCGAGATGGTTCCTGTTGACTTGTTCATTTCATGCTTATTTTAACACCTCTTGCATCAACTGTTGCTATGCAGTTACAAGCAAAGTGTATCTCTCACCTCTGACCTAGAACTTCATCTACAGTTAGTTGTGTCTGTAAGCTTGCTTGCCTTGGCCTTTTTGTGCTCTGATCACCTTACACAATAGATCACCTGGACATTCACGCCAGACAAAGCTTATGACCTTCAAAAGGACTGAGCGCATTTGCAAAGTGTATAAAATAACTACAACTACGCACTTGATAAAAATTTTAATAAGGTGGCACTAATGCAAGCCAAGTTAGCAATGAGATATTTTCTTTTAATTCCACAGTGTTAATGGTAAACAAATGTGTCCCACAGGTTTTATCGCTCTGCTTAAATGCTGCTGTCCTCAGCATGAGCCGGTCTACCTCTGCGAGTCCTGCTCGTTGAAGGTCTCAGAGAAGGACATCGTCAGCCATCTGACTGGATTTGACCATCACAAGGTGCCACTGGTGGTGAGTACATGTTCAGTTTTAAGTTGGGCTTCTTTTTTTTTTTTTATCTCAGTGCAATGCTCATATGTTATATTTGAGCATTGCACTCGGTGTCATATTTGACATCGAAGTTTCTAAGACTCGATTTAACAGAAGGATCTAAGAAGCTGATATGCTGCCTAATTTCTGAGATCATATGGTTGGGAGCAATAATTGAAGTTTCTCTAACTTTAATTGTGGCTTAGCTCTTCAAGAGGAAGGAAGAATATGTTTGACAGGCTAAAAATATTGTGTTCACTTGAACTGGAGAAAGGGGAACCAAAATAAAAGCTACTTGAGATTGGCATAAAAAAATATACAAGCTCAAGTTTGGTCTGAACCTTAATGATATTATATTTTCACACTAATATCCAAAATTAAAATCTTCATTTGGGGTACTAATTTTATTTCTGTTTTGACTGCAGGATGTTAATGTAAATGAAGAAGTTTACAGTAAGGTCTCAAAACAAAGCTTTCAGTCGGGTAAGGATGCACCTTGCTTTCTGTGTTTGGGTTGTTTTGTTGTTACTTCACCTTAGTGAAGCTAATTTGGAGAGACAGAACTACCAAAGTGCAGAATTTCCTCATTTTATCCCACTGTCATTACAGCCATAGAGACAGTCAAGGCATTTCAAACTCAGCAGGACATTGGGTCTACATTCCCTTCATCCTCAACTCCTACCTGCGTAAAACCTGTGGACACTTCAGTCGACCAACATGATGACAATACAAAGGGCAGCGTGAAGGTAAGTGAAGTGTATTATGAATAGAGTTTATGCGTGATATTCATGTGAGATTTGCAATAATGGAAAATTCTGAAGTAAAGGCACAAACTAAAGAGATGTAGGAAAATGTATTCATGTTAGAGCTGACCGAGCTCTCCTTCCCGGCTCCATCCAAACCCTGTTTGCCTGCTAGCTGGTACACATAGGATCAGAGACTGACTTTTTAAACAGAGATACTTGCACAGATTCAAACAGATAACATTGATACCAAACCTTACTGCATTGATGTGCGTGGTCGAAATCCACAACCTGAACACTGCATGCTTGTGTCTGCTTAAAAAAAACTTAACTACTGCTACTAAATGCCATTGTTTCATTGTGAAGGTGGTGAACATGGTGACTGATGCCGACCAAGAGGAGTCTGCGTTATTTAAAGGCACTGGAATAACTCAAGTCCTCCCTCAATCAACTGAAGAGGGCACAAAGAGTAACAAAGCCCCCAAGCCAGCTAACAAATCTGTCACTTGTTCAGTTACTCCCAGAAGTGGAGAAAACGTAAGTCTGTGTGTGTCAAATGCAAGTGGCACAAAAACCACCTCCAAAGCCAGTATTACTCCAAACACAAAGTCAACTGCAGAATCTGCAGCGGTGTGCAGAACCGGAGCTCCATCGAGAGTGACGGCTACTTCTTCAAACAGAATACCTCCTCAGACTGAATCCACAGTGGTGCGAGAGGCTACTTGCAAAACTGCACCTTCCTCCAGAAGTGAAAAGTTTCCATCTCATCAGTTAAAAACAAAAGCCACCCCTCAAATGGCACCTGTGGCTAAAAAGCCCAGAACCTCAGTTAGACCTGAGAGTGTGGAGACTTCTGCAAAGACCGTACATGTGAAGAATTCAGTGGGGCCAAATGCATCACATTGTCATAAAAGTAACAAACCTGGCGCTCCTCATCAGGCCACGGGCACGTCTGTCAGGCCTGAACACAAGAAGCCACCCACAGAGCCACCCCAAACCTCCATGAGTAATAAGACAAAGCCAAGTGAAGGCCTTCCTAAAGTAGGCAAGTATTAAAGTTATTATTTCTGTTTGTAAAAAGTGAATTTCTTTCCACTATTTCATTTTTAACCAGAAGCCTGTGTTTTTGTTACTTTTTAGGCTTAAATGAGCTGATTGTGGTATCGTGTGAGGAGAAGCAGCAAGTCTACTGTAAGCTGTGTTCAGTGAAGCTAACCAGTTCCAGTGACTATCACCTGATCAGCTTAGACCACTGGAAAAAATATGTGGTGCGTGCTTTTAAGCGTCTATGCAGTGTAGCTTGTGAAGCAGTTCAGTAATATAGATGTTAATTGGATCTTGTTTGTTTTCTTTTTTTCCCTGATTAGAAAACGAAGTATCCTGATTGGACCGCAAAGCCATCAGAGATGGAGAGAAAACTGAATGAGATAGCGATCCCCTTGACCGAGGCTGAGAGGAGTCTCGGACCTCGCAAACCACAGGTCTACCAACAGACAATTTAAATCACAATTAACAGATTTTTTGCATTTTTAACATTATGTGTGGCAAAACAAATACACATGAGAGTACAACATTAAAGTGACAGCTCATAAGGTAAAGCTTTCAATTACAGTTGTTTATATTTATCCTGCTAGATTCTGAAAGTGAAGAAGGACGTGTATGAAAAGCTGGCTCATCTTCCAGAAGATGAAGGTAAAGAAAGATTGATTCATTTTTTCCTAAAATGGAGAATCCAGTCTCTTAATGCTTGAGACTGTAAACGTGGCACACAGCCCAGACCTTGTCTGGGGGGGAGGGGGAGACTTTACTGCTTGGTCAGAATGACTAAGCAAACATTCAGAGAATCTGAATTGAGTTGAGTTTGTGCCATGAAGAATTCACAGTTGGCAATCAGAATCAAACTACTTTATTAATCCCTGAGGAAACTGTGTCCAGTTGCTTCAACACAATAACAATGGTAAATGATACATTATATTACAAAGTTACTAAATAGATATTGTAGTGTGTACTTTCACTTTACATGGAGTTGTACAGAGAGATGGCCACAGGCAGGAGTAATTTGCTGTGTCATGCAGTGGTGCAGTTCGGTAATCAGTCTCTCACCAGATGTGTTCTTGTGACTGGCCAGCATGTTATAGAGTGAGTGGAAGGTGGTGTCAAGCATTGTCCTCATCTTGGACAACAACCGGTCCCCGACATCACTTTGAGTCCAGCTCACTCCCCAAAACGTTACTGCCTTTGCTGATCAGTTTATTGAATCTGTCGGCATCTGCAACTGTCAACCTGCTGTCCTAGCATGTAAACGCACAGAGGATGGCCACAAAAGACACATTGTACAACAGACATTAAAAGATCTTAGCCGCCTCAGAAAGATGTACAGTAACTAATTAGCCATGTATCTGATGAGTGTACTGTATGTGTAGTTTATAGACAAAGCAGTCACAGATTTGAACTCTTTTCCTGTCCATCTTTTGATTCTCAGCTGTCAAATATGTGAAGTCAATGAATCAGAGAAGCTTGCGGCTCTCATCAACCTCCCCAGCTGATTCTGCCTCTGCCAGTCCATGCGACGTTTCAAGCTCAGATGATGGTAAATAAGACAGCTCCAAACAGGTCCTAGTTTATGGATACCAGCAGCTGATTTCAAAAATGCATTTATTGTCTCTTAGGGATAAATAAAATGTCAGAACTTTCTACTTACGAATGTCCAGCGGTGGAGAACAAAAACCAGCACCAGGCACTGTTGATCCAGAAAGAAGGTGAGACCCCAAATGCAAATGAATATATCTTTAAGAAAGGTTTTGAATATGATTTTTCTATTTGTTTCTGTTAACTCAGAAATGAGCTCGAACTCAAAAGTGGAGGCGGACCTGGCTGCATCGAAGCCAATCGGACAGAGCACGGAAGATGAAGACATACAATCTGATGACATGATTCTGGACGAGCTTGAAGACGAGGAAACGGCAGGTAATGCATCCATGCTTGTCACTGGCTTTTTTTTAATTTTTTTAATTTTTTTTATAGAATCACACATAAAATAAATGTTTAAAGTTGAAGTAATAGATCTCTTCTACATAATTTAGAAATTGAGGATTTAGAAGAAGATGTAGAGATTCAGACTTGCACTGAAGTTATGTCTGAAATGCAGTGTCCTGGTAAATATAGAGCATTTTTACATATTCTGCTTCTGTAACATTTTATAGGTTCTCTTCTTGCTTTAACTCATTTTAGCAGAAGTCATAATGTAGAAACTTTGTTTTGGCAGAGCTTCATGGCGGCACTAGAGACCACAGACCAAAGCAGCCGAAGAGTGAAGAATTTCAGGACAACTGGACATTGCCAGCATGCGCACAAAAACCTTTGACTGTCAAATTCAGCTGCTCAGAGCCACTCCCTGTAGCTGCTTCAGCTCATCCAGAAGGGCAGAACCAGCTGAGACCAAGGCAGAAGATGGACCACGTGTCTAGAGGCAATCCAGTATCAGAAGAGCACAGTGCATCACAGGCATTCTTAAGAACTCCAACAGGTTTGTGACGGTGGTGTTGATGGTGTTGTTTCATTTTATGATTGAAAGTAAAAACTCTGTATTGTGTCTGTGCTACCACAGAGGGAAGAAATCAGCGCTCTAGTTCTGACAGCAATTTGTCCATCTTCTTGAATACAAAGGGACTGGATGCTGAACCAATTGTTGGTAGGTGTCTCCATCCTACACTGAAACTCCTTTCCACTCTCATTACTTTATCTCACTCTTTGTGCCCCCTGGTGTTTCTCCATCAGGTAAGGGTTATGTGTTGGAGTGCCGCGGGATTGCTTTGGAAACCCTTTTCTTATGCACGTGCTGCGAGAAGGCGCTCTCTCACCGCGACATCTGTCAGCACATGGTCAGCTCTGAGCACCAGCTCAAATACATGGTGTGTATTGTCCTAATAATGGTTTTTCAAATGTTTGAATAATAAGTGATCAGTATATGTTCCTACAATTTTAAAATGTCTTTCAGCGGAAAGTATACCCTCAGTTTCTCCACAAGTTCTGGGATGAAGACCTGCCTTTAGACAAGAAACTGGAACTCTTAAAGAAAGTTTCCTGGAAGCTCTCAGAGCGGGAGCAAGATGAAAGTCCAAAGGTAGACTGTTAAGACCACATACTATAAAGATTGGCTCGATTCATCTGCTTTGACATCAGTGACAATAATAATAATATTTTCCCCCTTTTTGTACACAGGTTACTACGCTGAGAAAGGAGTTGCATGAACGTGTTCAGACGGCTCCATTCAGTGAAGGTAACAATAAGATCAAGTTATAACTGTCCACACAGTTTAGGTGAAGTGAATACACAGTAACTGTGTTTGTTCTTCAGCTATAAAAATTTTGCAAAATATGCATACGGACAAATCAAGTAAACTGGGCCTGGCGCAGGACAACGATGAACGCAGGGTCTTGGTACCACAGCACAACAGTGAGTCCAAACGGCTAAATCGATGTTTCATCTTCTTTATGTTAACTGGAGGAGGAGTATGAAGTGTGACCTCTGCTTTCTGTTGCACAGGTCAGCAGTCGGATGAGCGGCCAGTTCCAAATGAGTCTCTTTCCACAGAAATGCAATCAGCTCATAGAGCTGAGCGATACCAGAGAAGTGACAATGGTGAGAGGGGTCGCTTTTCCAAAACTGAACTTCTTCCATAGGCTCAGGGGGAATTAATTATTTGATGCCCAGCTGAGTTTTTTACTTCTCTAATTTTTATGTAAGTTTTTTTATTGATGGTGAGAGACTGAATGTCAACCAAACTTTCCAAAAAATTATATGACATAAAAGTTGCAGTTGATTTGCACGTCATTGAGTGAAATAAGTATTTGAAGAAATATAAAATGACCTTCAGTCACCCTCAGTCTGGAGCTCCATTCAAGATCTTGCCTTGTGGGGTGAGGATGATCATGAGAGAGGTGGTGGATCGGCCCAAAAGTAAACGCTAGAAGGTTGTTGCCAAGAACATCACAGTGTAGCACGCTATTCTGTGATAGACTGACAAAGATCTCCTTGCTCAGGAAGATGCATGTGCAGGCCCATCTTAAGTTTGGCAGTGAACATCAGAGAAGACTTGGAAGAAAGTGCTGTGGACAGATGGAAATCAAAATTGCACTCTTTGGTAACTCGACCTGCAGTGTTTGGAGGAAGAGAAATATATGAACACCATCCTCATTGTCAAACTGGAGGTAGAAAAGATTGTTTTGGGCCAGTTCCTGGGTACAGGATGACCTCACTGCGTTGAGGGGCCAATAGTCAGGCCTGTGTACTGCCTAGACCTCAGATCTCAATCCTATTATTTTTTTAAAAATAAAAAAAAATACTAATAATAAAATAAAAGGGAGGTGAAGTGAAGTTTTGTTTCTTGGCTCCTGCTTGGCAACTCAAAAGCTTTATTTCAACTTGTTTTAGTTTCTGTAAAGAGTGGTGGTCCAAAATCACTCTGGAGATTTCTGACCTGGGGGCCAACTACAAGAAACGTCTTACCACTGTTATTCAACAAGGGTTTCTACTACTAAGTCATTTGTTTGTGTGGTGATCAAATGCCTGTTTCACTCAATAGCACACACATCAATATGTAACTTTTATTTAAGGTGTTTTTATTGTTTTTTGGTTGATATGCTGTCTCTCCATAAAATGAAACTGCCCTCAATATTAGCTAATATTTACTGGTATTTCTCTGTATGTGAACAAGCTTACAAATTCAATGGTAGTTGTAAATAATAATATTGTTCCCAACTACATAAAATTTGACTTGAGCTCAACGCAGAACCATGTATGAATTTCTTGTATATTTCTGTTCTGAGTTTTAAATTTGAACGTGCCAATATAAATTAGATTTTTGTGCTATTTAAAGTGGTTGATGGGACAACAACTTATCCTCTATTGAGTAACTAGTTTTAATTTGAGTTAGAGCAATACAAGCAACTATTGACAACAAAGCCTGCAATGTTGTTTTTGTGCTTCACCTATTGCAGTAATTTGAAGTGTAATGGTTTGAGTCAGGTGAGCTAACTCTGCATTTGGCTTTCTCTTGCATTAAGCTTCACACTGTTAGATTGCTTTGGACAGGAGGCGAGAGGAGGCTCAAAATAAACGTGAGGTGAAGCTTGCTAACCTGGCTCTGCATGTTTCCATTTTGCGTTATACGCCACTGACATACATATATGTGTATATATTTAGTATTAGTATATTAGTGCTGTAATCTGATTGGTTTACCAACCTCACCTGTGCTGTGAACTGCATGAACAGTGACAGTTTAACCGTGTGTTTGCGAGTGTATGATGAAATCAGCCAAATTCAGCGTGGCATCTACATTATACTAATGTGTAATATACGTTTTTGAAATTAAGAAACTTCTCCATGGGTTTGGAGATGGAGACTATTCAAAGAGTGTGGAAAGAAATGTTTTTTATTTTTTTTATTTCTGCAGGCTCTAATTGTGTTTCTTGTGCTATTCTGTCCTTTTTTTTTTCCCCCAGCTCAACTCACACAGGAGCCTCAGTTAGAGTCAACTCAAACGGTTGGCGACTTGGATGGGTTCAAAGAAAGAGGACTCCAGAGTCCTCTCAATCTGAGCGGCTCCAGCTCGAAGGATGATCCTGTTGCCTCACTGTTGCCCCATCCTGGCTCATGTCTCAGCCCTGAAGAGACCTGCTATAAGCCTCCTGTGCAACCAAAGCTCACGCCACCAGTCTCTGACTATCAGCAGCCTGCCCTCTGCTTGCATGTGAAACAGGAAGAGGCGCACTCAGAACCAGCATGCTCTTCGGCTGCTAATCCTACTATCAGCCAAACGCTGTCAGTGCCTCCCAGAGATCAGTGTCTCCCATCCAGGGAAAGGCCAGCTGATACTTTGCCATACATAAATGATGTAGACTGGAGATTGTTTAGACACCTGATTGCTGTGGTGAGAGAATGTAGAATGAAAGCTTCTGTTACTGTTGATACTTTGGACTCCTGCGCTGCCGGTTCATCTGAAAGTGTGGAAAATAGGTTGAATTTGCATACAGTGACAAAAACTCCAACTTCCTCTGGCTCATTTAAAAGCATGCCTCTGACAGGAAACCCTGCTAATGCAGGCAGTGAGAACCAACGCTTCAGTCTGAGTGGAAGCTCAGAAGACACTTCATCTTCCCTGGACCATTTGATGACTAGAAATCCTTTTAAGGTTGAAGCTGCATCTGGTGCAAGGGCTACTACCGCCACTGTTGAGCCCAAAGACCCACAGCATCCACCAACTATTGCTGATCAAAGAGTCTTTGAACATTTCAGCCCTGTTTGCTATACAGACACCAGCCATAACCCAGGACAGATCCCACAGCCACATGCTGACTCAGAGGCTGACAGCTCTGGAGTTGACCAGTTGCCCATCAGTACCATTGTAACCGAGAGGCTGACGCAAAGGTTTATGGGACATTATACAGAACAGCCCCACACCGAGGTGAACAGCAGCCATCAGGGCAGTTTCCCTACAACTTCTGGAGACAACCCCACTGACTTTTTGGTGCCTTCAACCGGATACGAGTCACACAGCCAAATGCCTTATGTCGCAAGTTCACATCCAGGGTACGCACCGCCTCAGGCCGTATTAGGTTACACAACAGGAGAAAACCCTCAAGTTTATACTGGAGCTTTAAACCCAAGTGAAGGATACTCTGCAGCGGCAATCTACCCGGGAAATTTTTATCCACAGCTCGCCATCAGCCATTCAAGTTTGCAGTTATTTGGGCAATCTGCGGTGACTCCAGGATGGGTGAGCTTGGATATGTTGCACTACTACCCATCAGTGAGGAGATAAGTGACTGGTTTTTGGTTTTTCTACAAAAAAACATTTGCTGTTGTGCGTTTTGACATTTGATTTCTCTCAAACTGTTTTTGGGAAGCCTGAGGTGCAAATTGACACATTCGCTGCCTTTTTCTCAGTATTTCTGTGTTTTCACTTGCCCTCCTGTACAGCATATGTTCTGATCACATTTAAGAAGCTAGATTTAGCCTGTTAAAACTCTTTGTTTTGTGTGTTGTTTTTTTTGCCTTGTGGTTCATTTTGAGTAAAGCGCACAGATTTTCTGTGCAAGTAGCAAAAAGTTATGTTTAAAACTGTTTGTATTCAGTATGAAGAGTGTGACGAAATCTCATTTATTTGTAGCTTGTTTTTAATCTGATAATAGCAGTTTTATATATATTTGTGGGTTTTTGTTTTGTTGGCTGATTTTTGATTTAAAAAAACAAAAAGAAACTTGATGTTTGATTTTTGACCAGTTAATAATAGATTTTGTTTGTCTGATGAATAAAAGGGAGAAACTTCCTCTTAAACAAAAGTATTTTTATGGGGTCTGAGATGAAGTGTTTTGCTGTGTGCTTGCCTTTACACTAAAGGGAGATCTGTGTATGATTGGGCACAAACTTTAAGGGGAAGGGAGAGAGACACATTCTCTATTTTAATATTAAGCTTGAAACTTGCCTTTTTTTAATTTTATTATTTTTTTTTTTATGGAGTTTATAGTGAGTCCTGGATCAGATGACTGAATCCTCCCAGTCATGCTGCACTAGGTCTAGCCTGCTTATCTGCATGTCTCCCAGATTGCAAGGTTTCTTCTTCACTCACTTTTTAAAAACACTGCATTTACTCATTAGTTGTTATTAACCTATCTTCTCCACGGTGTGTCTTTGTCCAGTCTCCCTTCCTGAACCTGGGTCTGCCAAAGGTTTCCTCCTTGAGAGGGAGGTTTTCTTTCCTGCTTTTGCCAAAGCACTTGCTCATAGGTGGCCATTTGAGATATTTTCCCAGTGTTATTGTAGGGTCTTTACAATATAAACCGCCTTGAGGTAACTCTTGTGATTTGGTGGATATAAATAAAATTGAACAGAACTTATGAATGGTTACAACTGCAGGCATAAAAAATATATCTATATATTAATCTCATATAGAAGAGCAACATTTTATTTACACTGAAATAATGAATTAACAAGTTGCCAGGTAACAGATGAGGACCCAGATTAATGGAAGGACACAACTATTGTTGGTTTCTTCACAGCCATCTATAGGTCAAGGGTCCAAAAATAGGGGGGGGGAAGAGGCAGATCTCTGGGAGAAAACTCCTTGTTGGGACAAAGGTCAGAAGTGGATGCAAACAGTAACTTGCATAAGGTATGTAGAAGAGCATCTCTGAAGGCACACTGTGAAGATTTGAAACCGATGCGCTGCAGAAGCTCTCACTGGATGTATGCCTGTCGCCTCAGAACAGGAAACTGACGCCATCGTAACCACAGTGTACCGATCTTGTAACAAAGCTGTTGCTCCCTTTGCTCTATTGCCCTGCTGATTATGAAAGAACACCGCAGTGTTATTTTGTTCTGTCTCTATATTAACAGCGTTTGCGCCTAATGAGTATGTCAGGAAGTACGCATTCTGTATCTGAGGTAGAGCGGGCAGGTTTTTGACTGGTGATGTTATGTCTACCCACAGACGTTGACATAGATCGTTTAAACTGTGTAGGGACTTGTGAAAAGACGCCGTGTTTTCCTGGAAAATGTGCAAACGCCAGATATTAAAACTTTACACCAAATGACAGGTTGGAAACGTTAGGGGAACATACACTGTTTAAAAAAATAAATATTTAAAAAACTTCATATGGGTTATGATTTTGGTTCTGATGTGCAATGTAAATGTTCCCTTTATATTCATATTAAAAATTTTTAGCAGCATCGTTGGAGGGCAGAAAAGCATAAATGTGTTTAGCTGTGTCTGCAGAGTAGAGCGCATCAAAGCACTTTGAGACCATTCTGAAACAGCATTTTCTCTCTGCTACAGTAACAGCAAAGCTAACGCTGTAGATGATGACCCAGAATGTGGAATTAACCTGAAGGTTGAATTTCTTTCTTGTGCAATCTTTAAGAAGATGAACATGACCTTGACAACTGTGCTTAATACATTCAGGTTTATCCACTTGTCCCCCTGTGCTTTTGTTTATATTGAAAATGAGATATTTCTCAGTGTGGTAGGAATATAAGCGTGGGAAAGAGGAAAGGAGAGCATGTCTGAGGCAAATTGGGAGGGTTTTCATCAGCTTGTGACCGGCCTCCCACACATGTGAGGTATTTGTTGGAACTTTCAGGCCAAGCAAGGCCAGACCTTGGAGAACTTCACAGCAACTACTTCCTCATAAATCATGCACAGTTGTAGCAACTTGACAAAAAAACCCTGCTACCTGTCTGTTATGATATCAAAGCTGATTTTTCCCCTTATGTCTCACTGTGCATGATGCTGTGTGTTGCATAAATATAACCTCTGTGACCTTTGGACTTCAGTTTAAAACATGTGTCAAAACCATAATCATTATTCATTCAGGAATCATCAGTTAATCCATGTGTTTCAAGGAGCTTTATTGTCCTTCGCATCACATGTTAACATGAGGTGGAATGAAATTATGTACACATGGTCCCAGAGTGAAAAGAAACAAAATAATGAAGAAACAGAATTTATTTATTTATTTATTTATTTTTAAGTAATAAATGAATAGTTGGGGTTTTTAATTTTATTTTTGTTTTGTTTTTTGTTTTTGCTTTTTAACAAACAGGAATGACAAGTCATAAAACAATACAAGAAATAATACTATAAGTAGAGTGCAGCAACCTGAGTACCAGTATGGAGTATGGGTATCGAGTGTAGGTATAAATATACAGGGAGTGCAGAATTATTAGGCAAATGAGTATTTTGTCCACATCATCCTCTTCATGCATGTTGTCTTACTCCAAGCTGTATAGGCTCGA